ATGGTTTATATTTTGTTTTCTATCATGTTCTCTGAATAATTTACATACATCAGGAGGAGTCTTCATCGAAAAAAATATCTTGAAAATCAAATGTTTTATTTTTATTTAAGTTGGATTGTTTATTGACATTACTGAGACTATTTTAAAGGAAAGCTATAACTCCATTTGAACCCGACCGGTAATGAAACCGGGACCGCGCCACGGGAAGCTAGTACGCTGCCCATGAGCCATCCTAGAGGCTCGAACGAAGTCCTTTCCTGAACTAATGGGTTCTTCAGCAAATAAGGGATGGGTTGGGTCGCGGATTCACTGCTCTGAATCGAAGCATGAAGCGGCGATCTCAGCTACAGAGGCGTGTTATGTAAATCAGTGTATGTTCGTTATCGCACAAAGGCGCAAGGAGCTTTATGTAAAAACGGTTTCTCCAGCTCCGGTGCACGCGGGAGGGGGCATTAGGGGGGGGAAAAAGGGGGGCAGGGGCGTGGCGGGGGGCAGAGGGGCGCGGGCGAGGACTGGCGGGGTGGGGGCGGGGGTGCGGGCCGCAGGGTCGCGTCGCACAGCGCGAATCGAGAGTTCCTCTCGTTGTAAATCACCACGCACGCGTGAAGGAAGTGTGGCGATCTTTGTTCTCGTGCTAATTGTGGGGCTCCCGTGTTCCGCGCGGTGACTGCGTCGGGCGGGCTAATTACCAACGCTTCTCGCAGCTTCAGACTCACCGCCACCTCCCCCCCCCCGCCCTCGCCGCGCCATCGCGTCCGTGTGGAACCAGCGTGCTCCCTCCCTCCCCCCACCCCCCTTGCCGTTGCCGCTCTCCTTCTTCACGCTTTTACGCTGCCATTTGCGTTTCGCCTCTTGCGTCATCCGGCCGCCTTTGCCGACTGTCGTCCACACAATATTAGCTTTTCGTACTTCCTGTATTCCCACTACAGCCTTCATAGGCTATACACATTCCGTCGAATTTCCATGTATACGTAAGATTCCAAGGATATTTTCATTTCGTTACTTTTCTTACAACTCTACTAGATGAATACTTTGGACATCTTTCGTCCAATTACACTATAATGTCGCTATTATAGTTCCTCCCCTTATCCAGCGCGCCAACAATTTGTTACTGCGTTCGTCGCTACACTTTGCCATTATTATGTCCGCTCCAGTGCTTGATGTATGCCACCGTCGCTTCCCCGGCAGCCGTTCCCCTTGGCGTCCGCCCGCCATCTGCCGCCCCGCCCCCTCGCATCGCGCTTCCCGAAATGCGCGGCGGAGGCTCTGACGGGCGCCGCAGTCACGTGGCCGGGGCGCTGGGAGGGGAGCGCGCTGTATAAAAGACGCCTCGGGCTCCGGAGCAGGCATCACTCTCACCTCAACTACAAGCTTCATTGTAGTTTCTTCTCCCTTCGCCTTCAACAGTTGGACATCAAGTGCAACATGCAGGCTGTACAGGTAAGCTCTCGCCAGAGTGCTCTCCACTGTACGGATCGAGTCGGATCGGAATATTTTAGGATCCTGTAGAAGCATTTGCTAAAGAACTTTATATTTGGCTGCAGCCCAAATCATTAAATAGGAACGCGTATTAATGGTTATTTAGCGAAAGATTAAAAATTAGTTTCGATAAATCTCTAGATCTTTCGAAATTCCAGTCAATCACTATTCAATAGAGTTGAATATCCTGTACTTCTCAGAACCAATGATAAAATAATTTGCTTTTGCACTTCAAAATTTAGAATAAAAAATGAAATCCGAATTACTGCCTTTATAGATGTTAATGCGGTTTTTCAGGTAAAAAGCTTCCAGCACAAAAATTAATTCAATCTCAATGCGCAGCCAGCAGACTCATTGAAAGTAGATATTATTCGGGAATTATTGCAATTACACCGAAAAGCGAATGCTAGCGATACGGCAGGCAGATTGTTCTCTTTGGTCGAATATGAATTTTCACCAAAAATAACTTGCAAAACTGGGCCGCCTCGCCGATCGCAACTGGTGTAATAGACCATCGTATCACGTTCGCAAGGATTTGCGTGATTTACATCCATTATGGATACGCACAGCTCTCTTCTCGACGTGACCGGTCGACCGGCCATGGGATAAACAAGCAGGATTTCGCTTTCACCGGTTTGTTCGCTACGCCATTGTACAGCTCATTTGTGCCGTAGAAATACATTCGATACGAACTATTCTCTTTAAATGAAATCTTCTATTGCCATTTTAATATTAGAAGAAAAAATGTTTTCATGAACCTATTGGAAAACGATTGAATTCTTGTTGCAACCGCAATGGAATTCTAGAAGCTAAAACCTCGTCTCATGAAAGTATTTTTCCAGGGATTATTTCGAACCAGTTTTTGAAATAGAATGTAAAAGATTCAATAAAAATTTCAATGAAAAAATATATACAATATTTTGGTTTTACAACGACTTTTGTTGAATTGCTGCGGCAAAATTCGCAGAATATTACTTTTATGAAATGTACGAAATACTGAAAATATTCTTCTGTAGCAAAGCTTGACAATTGAGTTCATGACTACAAATTCGGGCTACACAAAAACATTTTATATAATATATAGTTATAAAGTTATATATTTGGAATAAAATGTACTGTAGCACAATTCCTATGTATTAAATATAGAACAACATTACTATAACACTGAACACCCAAAACTTGTAAAATTATATTCTAAAAATGCAGAATACTTTTCGATATTTAAAAATTATTCATGACTTTCTATATTTTTACTCCTACTTCTTGAATGCACACAATCACACTATAAATAATAGTAGTGAATGATTATGTGTGCCCACATAATTGATGAGACCTTTACAGTTTGTGATTTTTTTTTAATATATCGATTAATGCAATCTGTGAGGAATGAAGGATTTGTAATATGATTAACCAAAAATCTATAGATGTATAATATATTTCACTACTTTCTACGTACTATATTATGTATTTAAATTACCCTGGCTGCAATGTCTAGTTAATTTTTAAATGCACCTTTCCTTGGAATTTTTTTTTTCATTCAAATATTAACTTTTGGTCACTAATATGTTTTTTTTTAAATCAGTATCAAACCTAAATTATTCAATTCAAAGAGTCTCCAAATCATTGACAAGCGACATCATTTGACTTGACCCTGTAATGGAAGGTCTGCATTTCAAAAAAGTTAATTGTTGTATTTTTAAGGCGATTCATAATAGGAAGCGTAGAAATGTAGAACCCGAATTGATCAGAGGGGGCGGGGGCTCAGGAGTTTTATTTTCCTCTACATCTCATTCTTTCCATCTACTTTAAATTTATTCATATTACACACATTACCCTACATAATAATAATCATCATCATTAGATCGCAACGCTAACGACGTTTTGGAAGACCTGGACAGTTATTTCGAATTAAAAGATTTTCGTATTTGATTTGATTTATTTTGTCACAAATATACCAGTAGAAAGTGATTGTGGTGTACAGGAATTGAGAATCATCTGTGCGCGTTATGTTGAGCTCCAAAATTTCTTCTCCACCCTTTTACTATACGTAGTTAAATAATGAATAAAAGTCCCAAGAAAGCGAGGTTTCAGCATTTGATAACTAGAAATATTCACTCCCTAGTAATATCCGAGTAAAACTTATTTTCATCAGTGAACGAAGTACATATTTGATTTGATTTTATATCTAACAAAATAGCCTAGATACCTCCCGCTCTAGTCCTACCACGACTGGCAAATCGCGAGCTCAACAGAACGTGCGCGTAGTGAAGCTGCATTGCAAAGTCCACAAGAAAGCGAACCGCGCGGCTTCTGCCCTCAGCTGGCATCCGCCCTCCTGCTCCTGGCAGCCGCCGGGCGCGCCTTCCCAGGCGGCTACGGCACCAGCCACGTCAGCCAATCGCTGGGCGGCGTGGGCGGCGGCTACGGCGGCGGCTACGGCGGCGGCCACGACGACGCCGGCCACGCCGACTACTACGCCCACCCGGAGTACAAGTTCGACTACGCGGTGCACGACCCGCACACCGGCGATGTGAAGAGCCAGAGCGAGAGCCGCCACGGGGACTCCGTCAAGGGCTCGTACACGCTGCAGGACGCCGACGGCCATCTGCGCACCGTCGAGTACACCGCCGACAAGCACACCGGCTTCCAGGTGCGCCCCCCACCCCTCCCCACTCTTTCATTCATTCATTCATTCATTCATTTTACGGGCACTCGCCTGCCTGTAGTTACGTAGGTGTAATGCACGTTTTATAGCGGGAGGTGGCGGTGTTCTTCCTTTATGTTCCTGTCCCTTACATGCAGGCTGGCGGGGGTTTCCCCATCCAAGTATCTCCCACCAGCAGGGCACCGCCCTAGCCGGGACAAACTCAAAACGTCGGTCTGGTCTCCTCTGATGTGTGGTAGTGTAGTGTTTGTTAGTGTAAATGTGAGTGACAAATTCCCTCTTCTTCCGAAGGAAAAAAATCGTTTCAAGCCAAGAAATCGGTGTGGCAGGATGTAGGTGTGTCTGTTTGTGCAAGTGACTAGTTAATAAGAAAATGTAAATTGTTCGAAGCAATAGTCACTCAGACTAGTAATACAACCCCGGTCTCCTGATTTAAGCCCAATTGCGCTGATACCAACTCCTGGTGAGAGTGACTATTGCTTCGAACAATTTTAATTATTGAATTCAATTGTTAATCAGTGCCAACATGGATGGCATTTTCAGTGTCGGCCATATTTCCGAAGTAATAACTTATCGAAAAGGTGACAAGATTGTGGCAGTCGAGACAAGAAAAGCACCGCGAATTTCTTAATTGTCAACACTCTATTATTACATTTTCATAGGAAAACAATCAGAACTGTAATACCTTAACTTCTCTTGAAGTTTTCAAAATTTCTTTGATGACTATAGAGTCGTAACGTTTAAAAAATATCTGCAATACGCAAATACATAATTATTGCGTTTTTTATTCACTACAAAGTAAGGGATAGTAAAAAAAAGAGTTTAATTTATTTTATTCACATTGATTATATAAAATTTATGACTTTGAGATAAGTACTGTAATAAGAATCATTATAACATAGTGTACTAATACACAACTGAGCATTATTAACAACAATAATGAATTTAAATTGATTTCAAAAAGCTATAAATGGCTTTATCTTTAAGAGAACTGAGAAATTTTTCATTGAAAAAATACAATAGATCAAAATTACATTGGAGGGTATTATGATTGCGTTGAACTTTTTAAAGAATCAATTTAGTTTACTAATAAAAATTGCAAATTGAATAATTTACCTAGGAAAATTGTAAAAATTGCTTCTATTTTCACATCAGATGAGAATAGTTGTTTATTAATTCCGTCTGGCCCACAGAATATATCTTTTAAATATCTAATCAGCACACGACATGTAGATGCATTAACTTATGATCTGGCATTTTAATAACTCCGATATTGTTTGTTTTCGACATCTCCATACCGTACAGAAATAACTTTTTGAATTGCATAAACTCGTTGCACGCAGCCGAATTCTCTTCCCCTCTCTCTCTCTCTCTCCTAAAATCTGATGCATGAGCTCCGGTTGTTACGAGCGCATACTACGTTTACGACCACCATTCAATATTGAGACATAGCAGTCGCTACGCATACATATTTCATGAATTACATGTATCTCGAATTTTCATTCTGCATTTTATGTTCTTTAGTACGGAGTGTTATTTTGACGAATTTATGAACACGCCATTGCCAAAATATGCCATAACCCAGGCGAAATAAAAGCGACAAAAGTAACAGCATATAATTTTCAGTAAGTGTAGGGTCGGAAAACATTTGTTACCCCTCCCGACACGTTTCAGAAGTGCAAGATTTTTAGTATTCTGGGAAGAATAATTATCAACATGAAACAAAATCATTAACAAGCATACATGCATAATGCCGAATTTTAATTTCGTAACTACACGAAACAATCAAAATAAACTAATGAACGCTTTATTTACCTTACGAACTGATCTATTAATTTAAAATAATCCATCCACAAAGCAATGTCGAGAGAAGTTTCATAAATCGCACGTATTTACACGAATTTTAAATTTATTTCTTTTATTTCGTATTTGAATATAAGATATGTTAGTTCCTAAATTGCAAAATTAACTGAACTTTCCAGAATATTGTTAAAAAAGCATTATGAAGTCAGCATACGAGGTTGGAATCGTGACATGAAAATCTGAATAAAGTTTGTGCGCTGTATTGGGTGAAATGAATGCTCGCTTCCAATTCCTCCGCAGTGACTGACGGTGTACCGCTTTGGGCGCTTTGCAGGCCGTGGTGAAGAAGGGCGGCAAGGTGACTCTGCACGGGTACGGTGAGCAGGACGAGCAGAACAACGCCATCGCCGGCGGCGCGGGCCACGGCGCCAGCTACAGCCAGGCCGTCAACCACGGAGGCTACTACGGCAAGGGCTCCAGCGGCGGCTTCGGAGGCGACCTCGGCGGCTTCGCTGGACACGGCCACTAC